CCCCAGCCCCACCTTGGGATCCTCCCCCCTCTACGATACCCCGACCTCGGATCCAGGCGTCGCAATTTTGTTCACACGGGGCGTCTTCGCCGGGTTTCGGTCCCCAAGACCCTCACAAATAGATCCAGCTCGAAAAATGGCGCAGAAAGATGGGATCCAGGAATCTGGTCGTGAATTTCTGCGTTGTTGCAATTTGTTCGCAACGTCGGATCTCAGGGGGACATACGATTGGAGGCTGAGAAATGGGCACCTAAAGGCGTTCAACACGGGGTCGGAGTAGATGGTGTCCGAGTACCTCCTCCTCCTCCTCCTCCTCCTCCTCCTCCTCCTCCTCCGACTCCGACTCCGACTCCGACTCCGACTCCGACTCCTCCTCCTCCTCCTCCCTCCTCCTCCTCCTCCTCCTCCTCCTCCTCCTCCTCCTCCTCCTCCTCCTCCTCCTCCTCCTCCTCCTCCTCCCTCCTCCTCCTCCTCCTCCTCCTCCTCCTCCTCCTCCTCCTCATCCCCCCTTCTCCTCCTCCCCCTCCTCATCCACATCCCCTTCCCCCTCATCTCCTCATCCTGCTCCTCCTCCACCGAGTCCCCCTCCATACTGCCCCTCATCGTTTCTAGATGGGCTGGTGTGGTCACTCGAAGCGTCCAGAATATACCTGGGTTCGACTGATCCCACGCTTCTTCTCTCAGGACAGCCCGGAGAACGCTTCTGAGAGCCCCAGGACGGCCCCGAGGACCTCAACGAGCCCCCTGAATGGCCCCAAGGCGGCCCCCGGGACCCCCCGACGACGGCCCAGGGCGGCTCGGGAACCCCCGCAGGACAGCCGAGGGGCCGCCCCAGGAGAACTCGAAGACTACCCCCCAAAAAAGACCCCCCCGGGCGGTCCCAAGGCACAGGTCTGCCGCGTCGGGAGGGCTTGGTAGAATCACGCTAAGTGCAAAACCTCTGAGCGCGCACCCGAGGTACATGCTGAGCCCTCGCCCGAGGTGTAAGGAAAGAGGCAAGGCGTCAAATGCGCACACGGGAGGCACCTGCTCCAGAGCCCTACGCGTGTCCAAGACGGCCGCAAGGCGTGCGTCAAGGAGGCGTCCTGGCAGGCACCTTCGGGCTGCCCAGGGAAGCGTCCTGGCCGGCGCCCTCGGGCGCCTCATGGAGGCGTCAAGACAAACAAGAGCCGGCGCAATGTCGTGGCGCTGTTCCCGCGCTGCCCCTTGGTCGACCGGCCGAGCCGGTTCGGGGGAAGCTCGGCATGACCACCCTGAGTGCGTGCATTCCGAGGCTGCGCTGGCACGGTGGTGGGGTTTGCAGCAGGCAGCTCAGTGAGGTCATCGAGAAGTCAAGCCTGCGGAATCCCTCGTACATGTCGTCTCCCCATCCCTCCCCTCCCATCTCCTCTTCTCCTCACCACGCGCCCCTATGTTGTCATCGCCTTCCCTCACCTGTCGGTGCGATTCGTGTGTGTACACACTAGGACCCCCTCGAGAAGAAATGGGAAGACCAGCATTCAATATTGAAAGACATTTCGAGGGACTGGGGCATGTGAGCGTTCTTTTATTCGGCGTTTCGACTTTGGGCGGGAGGGGGGGGGGGTCTGGCTGCGGACCTCTGCTTAGTGCGACTGTTTGGGACCGTGCGTCCTATGGGGGAGACTCCACCCGCTCGCAGCAGGTGTCAAAAAACAGCCAAGATCTACTCCACGGGGGGGGGAGGGGGGGGTGCGAGGGCCCGCACCGATCGGCAAACAATTAATAAAAAACGATCACCATCGAAGAATGTTTGAGCGCAGATCGCAGCTCAACTTGCCGTGTCTTGAGACTCCGCGCGTTGTGTTGCTTTGCTCTGCAACAGATCCATCCTATTTCGTCGCACTGCATTGTCTGACGCTGCTCTACATTGAGCCACCTGAGCTCAGACAGTCTAGGCTGAGGCGCCCTGAGCTCGCCTTGTCCTGCCTTTGATTCGGTAACGCGCGCACTCACTACTCACATTGACACCGTCCTTGAAGTGCCCCTGCTTTACTATCCGCCGACCCCTTGGGGTCACGGCGTGTGAGATACTTCCCCCTCCCCAAACCCCTCCCCCGGGAGCCCGGTCCGGCCGGTTTGGGAAGGGGAGGGGGGCAAAGGTGTCGGCCGCACCCTTGGAGCCTCAGGAGGCCCGAAAACGTGCCAAGAGGGCCTCAAAAGGCCCCCCGGACAGTCCAAGAGGGCTACGAGTCGCCGAAAGATCGCTCCAAGACGCCCAAGATCGCCTCCAGACGGTCCCAGAGGCCCCCAAGACGCCCCAAGAAGCCACCAAGAGGCGTCCCAAGAGGCCCTCCAGAAGCAATCATCGTCCCATTCCCTAGGGAAAATGCATATCTTTAGCACATTCGCCTCTTGAGCTTTCACGAGGCCCACAACGACCCAAGAAGCCTTTAAGATCGACCCAAGTTAGCCCAAGAGGCCCCCAAGAGGGCTCCAAGACGGCCCAAGAGGGCCCCAAGACGGCCCCAGAAGCTTCCAAAACGACCCAGACGGTCCCAGGACGGCCCCAAGAGGAGGCCCAGAGGGGGAACCCGAATGAACATTTCGAGCACTCGGCCCCGAAAAACCCTGAGGAGGCGCCGATAGGCCCCCAAACGGCTCCCACGAGGCCCCCGAGAGGCCCAAAAAAGGCTCCTAGAGGCCTCAAAACGGCTCCCAAGAGGCCTCAAAGTGCTGCCAGGAGAGCCCAGAGAAGCCCAAGAGCAGAGCGGCGATGCGCCAACCGCCCCTGACGAAATACCAAGAAGCTGAAACCCCAAGATCCCCCAAAAATCGTTCCGCAAACTCCGTTGTTCACTCTTACTGCCGCCCCAAGGGGTCGGCGGTGCGGCGTCAGCCAATGAATCATCCTTACCTTGAACTCGGCCATATTCAGGTCATTGCCCTTGCTACCGAAAAAAACCCCTTACATCAACGTGCCATCACCATACTGCGCCGCGGCGTTGAGTGTACCCTAAGAAACCCAGCTGGGCTCACACAACCTCCATCGCACGTCGGATCCCCAACCATCCCGACCCCAAATCAAGACCGACATATAAAGCATGACCCTAGCCAGCCAATCGGGCGAACATATCCGCCACCGCGCTTGCAGTAGTTGGTGTGTGCATGTGTCTGGCCATTGTTTTTGTCGATACTTCAGTTTTCTTGCAGCAAAGTAGTGATGAAGCCGCCCCGACGCATCGAGCGCAACATGCGTTCACTTGCTTGACCAAGTCCCCTCACTGTGCGCCTTCCCATCAGAAAGCCAAGCCACAATCAGAAGCCCCGTTGGAGAACTTCCGTGGCACCTGGTCCTCCCCCTGGGCGACCCCCCGCCCCCGCCCCCCCGGCCCCACCCCTCGCCTGGGCGCCCGCCCGAGCACGGTGACTGACTCGCACGACGGCGCAACTGTGGAAAGCCTGCCCCACTAGCCCAGCACTCCGGCGGCAGCGGGAGGCCCCTGGCCTGGCGTCCAGCTTCCAGTCGTCGCGCTCGCCCACGCCGACAGCCACCACCGGCCAGTCAGACTGTGCCAGCGGAGGGGGGCAGCAAGCATTCGAATATCGCAACGGTCATTGACCCAGGACACAGGTTACTATAACACTCGCTCCCCAGAGAATCAACCCCCCACCAACAAACCCAAAACACCAGAGAACAGCGCCCGACAAGCCACAAAACGCAGTATAAGGTCCGTGGGCTGCAACTGTAATCGTGATCATAGTCTGGCTAAGACAACATTTTACCAGGTGGGCAGCCAATGCCTCCAACGGTATATCGCTTTCGTAAGGTCACCACGCCTTCCACCATCTCCTGAACAAGCTCACGCACAGAAAGGCACGCACAGCACGGTGCCCAGACAATCTTCACAAATCGCACCTCCCTCTCGTGAGAGGAGCTATTTTTGTCCAATCTACGCTCAAATGGGGAAGCTCCCACCCATTGTGATCAAGACGCCGCTCCAGCTTCCAGAAATCCAACAAGGCTCTTTGGCACCTCCCTAAATGCCTGACCCGTACTAGAGAACAGCTGTCCGTCTCCCTGTGCTGACTGCGCGGACAGCCCAACAGAGACACTGACATGGTTTGGTAACGGCCACGCTCAGCAAATGCTGAGGCTCGACAACAAATTGGTGCAGCCACTGTTGGAGCGGCTGGATCTTCCACGCAGCATGATCACACCGAAGCGCTGCGAGCAGACCTCAAACAGAAATTTGTCGTTGGCTGGCTGGACTTGCCCTCCGCTGTTCCTCAAAAACAGCTGTGCTCATGGCGGCCTGAAATGCAACATGTGTTTGCACGTTTGTTGCTAAGGATGACGTTCCGTTGGTTCCTGGCTTGCGCAAACGTGCGAAAAGAACGATGCCCTCGAGAGGGCCTGCGCTTCTCCTTCACGGCGCGAAGTCTCACCGCGCCATCGTGCCAGCGGAACGCACTCGACATTTACAACGTACTTCCTTCTGGACTCCCGACCGCAAAATTAGCATAATGTCGCTCCCGACACCCCTGCGGGATACCTTCCCAACTGATTATCCCGTTTCTCGAGGCACGTACGGCCGTGGCGGAAAAGGTCCCTCAGGGCAGAATGAAGCAGGAGAAGGACGAGCAGGGACGTACCTCTCCCGAGAGCCAGCTCGGGAAGAGCTGATGCTGCGGACGGGTCTCCTTCAGGCACTCCTCCAGCACAATGGGGACGGCCCTGGAGCAGTCAGGGCACCGAGTGGGAGGAGGGAGAGGAGGAGGAGGAAGAAGAGAAGAGAAAGGAGAAGGAGGTGAAGGAGGAGGAAGAGGAGAAGAAAGAAGAAGAAAGAAACGGAGGAGGAGGAGGAGACGTGACAGAGATATAACCAGTGATGTGAGCTCCAGGGCGCCGCCTGGCACCGCGGCCTGTGACACTGACTGCGAGAGAGCACGATTCCCCTGGTCTGCACGCCGAGCTTAACACGGCACGTTGGCTTTCTGGCTGCAAACGGGCATGCCACGGTTAAGGGGCAGCTACGAATTCATGCCGTGTCCCCCTCGCTGTGGTCAGAGGGCCCCCTGACAATGCCGCTCGCGGCAGCAGAACTCGCGAGGAGGAGGGGGGAGAGGAGGAGGAGGAGGCGGAGGAGGAGGAGGAGGAGGAGGAGGGAAGAGAGAGAGAAGGAGAAACAGAAAGAGACGGAGAAGGAGAGGGAGTGGGAGAAGAAGAGGTAAGCAAAGGGCAATGGCCGCCACGAAGAAGACGTGCTGCCGTCCACGTTGCCAACGAAGAGTTCCACCGTGGGCTTCCAAACGCTCTCCTTGGCGAGCTCCAGGTAGCTCGCGCCCGACAAATGCCGCAGCTTCCCCTCGGCTGGGACCAGGCCGCTTCCCGCCTCTTCCCCCGTGCTCCCCCCTCCTGAGAGCGCATCCCTCGTGGCCGCCTTCCCTATCCCCTGCTCTCCACCTCCTCTTCCTCCTCCTCCTCCTCTCCTCCTCCTCCTCCTCCTCCTCCTCCTCCTCCTCCTCCACCTCATCCGCCTCCTCCGCCTCCGCCTCATCCGCCTCCTCCTCCTCCTCCTCCTCCTCCTCCTCCTCCTCCTCCTCCTCCTCCTCCTCCTCCTCCTCCCTCCCTCCCTCCCTCCCTCCCTCCCTCCCTCCCTCCCTCCCTCCCTCCCTCCCGCATCATCATCATCATCATCATCATCATCATCATCATCATCATCATCATCTCATCATCATCATCATCATCATCATCATCATCAGCATCATCATCATCATCATCATCATCATCATCATCATCATCATCATCATCATCATCATCAGCATCATCATCATCATCATCATCATCATCATCATCATCCGCCTCACCCCCTCATCCGTCTCATCCGTCTCATCCGCCTCCGCCTCATCCGCCTCCTCCTCCTCCTCCTCCTCCTCCTCTCCTCCTCCTCCTCCCTCCCTCCCTCCCTCCCTCCCTCCCTCCCTCCCTCCCTCCCTGCCTCCCCCCTCCTACCTCCACCCTCCTTCCTCTTCCCTCCTCCCTCCTCCCTCCTCCTCCTCCGTGCTTGTCTTTTCGCCCCAGCCTCAGAGCAGCAGCTGCAGTTGTAGCTTCGGCTGCCAATGTGGTTATCGAGATTCGGCTTTCTCCGAGCGGGTCTTCAGCTCGACACTGCTTGATCAGCTGGCAGGCGGCAATCGTTCTGTCATGTCCCTTGATTGATGCTACGCATCTGCCTCCGTGCCGCAGAACCTATTGGAGTAGCCTCAGCATGGAGCATCCCATTTAGAATATTGTGATAGTTGCGAGGACCCCAGGACCCCGATTGCAGGGTGTTGCGGAAGACTTCTGAGAGTTGTTGAGATTCGACGCGTGCCTTTTCCGGAGCCCTGTGACTGAGAAGCCAGACCTTCAACGTGCGCCACGGTGAACGATGGTAACAAGAGTTCGCTTGGGGGCCCTTGAGGGTCTCTTGAGACGTCCTGGAGGCCCTGAGGGTCGGCTCAAGAAGCAAGCATCGTCCGAAAGCCTGAAGCGTTTGCACGGTGTTCGCATACCCTGCTGGTCGGCCCCCGGAACATCCAAGACGGCCCCAGAGCATCCAAGATCGCCCCAAGACGGCCACTTCTTGGCACTCCCGTCATTCTTTCCCAGGGCTCTCGGGCCTCGATGCGCGAAAATCGTCCAACATCTGGTGGAAAGCGTACACGTTCTTCAGATTCGCCTTCATGGCCTTCCCGGCGTCCAAGATCGCCCCGCGGCGGCCCCCGAGGCCGCCAATAGGGGCCCAAGGGAAGCGCAAAGCGGGGGGGGAAGTCCGCAAACGGCCCACGAGAGGGCCCCGAGAGGTTCACAGAATGGGAACCCGCAGTGTTTTGTTTGAACACCCCAACATGATTCAAACGCAGTAGAAACATGCTAGCGCCTCGGCCTGTTCTCATAGTGGGAGGCCGCAGTGGCCCCGCCCGCTCTCCGACCCACGGTCCAGGCCTCTGGGAAGGGACTCCTCCGCGGAACCAAGCCAGCCCGCTGGGCAGGGGAGGAGGTCAAGGTACAATAGGATCACCATGGCTTCGATTGCGGGACGCGGAGGGCGACGAGGAGTGCGAAGAGGGTGAGAAGGAAGAGGAGGAGCGCGAGGAGGAACCACCTGAATGACTCGCGTATCAAAGAAGACCCCCCGAATCAGACAAGAACAAACTTCGCCGCACAACACCAAATTGGACCACACGCTATCAGACAGGACCAGACCAAGCCAAGCAAAGGCAGAACACGCAGGACCTCGCAACACAACAGAAGCGACCCGCATGGGCTGACGGGGACGCGCGCAGCGTTCAGAGGCATGGACGGCGCGGGGGAGGGGCAACGCAAGGGGGGGGGACTGGCTCAGGGGACGAAACACCGAGCCAGAGCCGGCGATGCCGCGCGGTTGTTGGGCGGGGGCGGGCGAATCGTGCCCCACATCGGCGATCCCTGGGCGATCGTGGGGTCCGTGCCCCCCCCGTCTGAGCCTGCTCCCTCCTGCACGTTGCCCCGCCCTCCGCTCCCCGGCCTGCGAGCCAGGTCTCGCGAGCCTCTGGTGGCCCTTTGCGCGACGATGTTGGCAGCCCATGAGCGCTCTCGGCGGGGCGCAGCTGACGGAAGCCACCCCGAGGCCTCGAAGAAACCCCAGGCCTCGAAGCTACCCCAGGAACGAAACACTTGAGCAGGGGATCGACTGTGGAATTGCTTTGCCCCGAAGTAGATGTCCCGTCGAATCTGCAACAGAAATGCGTGGAAAGTTTGTAGATCTACGGAGCATTCTCCGCATGTTTCGCAGGTTCGTCGACGGGAAATCAAGTTGGGGGTAAATCAATTCTGTAGTCGATCCCATACTCGAAAAACGGTCGACAACTTTGGAAAACTCCTCGCCCCCCTCCTCAGATCTGACGTTACACCTCGCAACATCGCAAAAAAAACATCACCACCACAGCTCCAGACCCAGTAGTTCTGCGTCACTCCTGCGAGCAGGATCGACCCGAGGGTCCCAGGGCCCGAAAAGGAGCGACAGCGCCCGTTGTGAACAGAGTGCAGCGCCAAGACCTCAGGGTAGGAAGGCACCAACTATACACCAACACCGATCCTGGCCCAGGATCACCCTGGGCCCAGGATCGGTGTATACGCCCTCCTGCCTTGGGCAAGAAGGCATATGCACCGATCCTGGGCCCAGGGTGATCCTGGGCCAGGATCGGTGTTGGTGTATCGTTGGTGCCCTCCGACGGGGCCACCCCCCTGAGCCTGTCCCCTGAGAGGGGGCACCAAAGGGGGGGAGACGCGACAGTGCGCGCTCGCCCCGCAGGCCTGGCCCTCCAGCTGCTCCTCCGCGCTCGCCCCCATTGGGGGCGCCCCGCGGCGCGCCAGCCAAGCTCCGCTCTCGCGCGCAGCGCCGGGCGGAGGGGGGGCTCGAGCCGAGACGGGCTCGCGTCGTGAAGCAATCACGACGGGAGGCTTCTGGCCGTCGTCGGCCTCCGGGGGCCCTCGCTGGGCCCTGGAGTCGTGAACCGATCACAACCGGAGGTTTCTGGCCGTCATCGGCCTCTGGGGGCCCTCGCTGGGCCCCGGGACGGTCAGAAAACGACTCGGGCTGAAAAGCCGGCCCTGGGGAGAGGGTCGGGCCTTCCGGGGACCCCGCATTGAAAAAAGTAGAGCATTGCATGTCTAGAAGGGTTTGGGGCACGCCCTGGGGAGTCATTCCGAGGTACTTTCTGGGCCGTCGGGGTGCTCTCTCGGAGCCCCCCGAAGCAGACGTCCATGGGGCAACGGGTGGCGGGGAAGCAAGGGAGCGCCGAGGGAGCAGGGGAAGCAAGGGATCGACAGCAGGGGAATCCTCCTCCTCCTCCTCCTCCTCCTCCTCCTCCAACCTCCTCCCTCCTCCCTCCTCCCTCCTCCTAGGGAGCGCCGAGGGAGGAGGGAGGTGGCTGGACGAAGGCGAAAGGAAGTCGGGAGCGCATGGCAGCAGTGCAAGGTTGCTGCGAGGGGGGAGCGAGGGAGACCGAGGGGGCGCGCAGGCAAGGAAGCTGACTCCTCCTCCTCCTCCTCCTCCTCCTCCTCCTCCTCCTCCTCCTCCTCCTCCTCCTCCTCCTCCTCCTCCTCCTCCTCCTCCTCCTCCTCCTCCTCCTCCTCCTCCACCCCACCATGTTTGGCTTCCCTTCAGGCCCCGCTCCAACGCGGTACGGCGTGTAGTCTTCTGGCTCCGAGGGCGGAAAAAGCCATGCACGGTATCGCTCCTGGGTCGAGGATCGACGACGCCTCGGTAGACGCCGACGCGGTACGGTGCATCCGTGTCGTCCGCGGGCACGACGGACGAGGCAGCTGAGCGCGTTCTGGGACGCATTCTCCGGCACACGACGCGCTCCATGAGGAAGCGGTGTGGGCTTTGAGGTGACGTCCTGGACCTGGGGGGGCCTCGCAGAAGCCCCGTGGAGCCTCCTGGAGGCCCCTTCGCCGAGTGAGACCCGGGATGCGGGTCCTGCCATGGCCACGAGGTGTCGCCCCGGAGTGGCGGAGGGCTGCCCGGCGCGACCTCAAAGGCGCCTGCTGCCTGGCCGGGGCGCGAGGAGCCCCGGGGAGGCCCAGCGAGCAGCCGTGAGGCCGAGCCGGGTGCGCCTTCGGGAGGCCCGGGGCGCCCCTCGGAGGCGGAAAAGGCGAGAGCTCCGAAAACGTCAGAGGGCAAGCACGACGGAGGAGGGAAGCCGCCACGTTCCGCGGCGCCATCTCCAGAACTCGCTCCGCCAGGAAACGGATGTGCCGTGCAAGCAGGCACGGGAGGCGGCCGCGGGAGACGACGGAGCACAGTGCGTCCAGGGACGCATTCTCCGGAAGACGGGTCGTCAAGACACGTCGGGGGCGCTCCGCCAGTGTGCTGGGGTGTGGGACCTCTCGAGGGCCTCGTCGGGCCTCTGGGGGCTCTGGAAACCCGCTCGGGGGGCCTCGTGAGGGCCTCTCGTGGAGGGCGCCTCGGGCGCCGTCTGCGGGCCCGTGGGCCTTCCTGGAGGCTTCTGGGGCTCTCCCGGGGCGGCCGCGGCCTGTCGTCCTGGAGCTCTCCTGGGCCGTCCTGAGGCCCTCTTGGGGGCCTCTTGGACCCTCTTGGGGCCTTCTGCACGCTATTGGAAGGCCCTCCTGGACCCTCTTGGGGCCTCTTGGACCCTCTGAGACCCTCTTGGGGCCTCTTGGACCCTCTTGGACCCTCTTGAGGCCTCTTGGACCCTCTTGGGGCCTCTTGGGGCGATCTTGGACCCTCTTGGACGCTCTTGGGGCGATCTTTGGGGCCTTTGGGGGCCTTCTGGACGCTGGTAAGGCCCCAAGTGCGAATACCCAGAACACGCGTTGTCCGTAGGGAATGGACCAAGCTTGGCCTCATAGGGCCTTCTTAGGACGACTTCTGGGCCTCTTGAGCCGTCTTGAAACAATATTCGGGCGTCTTCGGCACTGTCAGGCCGCTCTGGTAGCTTTCTAGTGGCCTCTGGAGCTGTTTTGAGCAGCGCGGGGGAGGCCCGGGAGGCCCCGGAGGGGATCGAAAATGTCGTCCTGGGGCCCGGGCCCAGGAGAGTGTGCTGTCCCGGGGTCCAGGCCCCCGATACCGCGTTGCATGTTGCACGCATGAGTCCCCAAGTCCATTTAAAGCGAACAGAAAGGGTCCACGGAGTCACTGCCCAGAATCAGAACTTTTCTGCGCCCCAGACGCACACGAGCACGCACGCACGCCCGCATGCACATACACACACACACACACACACACGCGCGCGCGCACACACTCACACAAACACACACACACACACACACACACACACACACACACGCGTACACAGACAAACACCTTTATATATATAGCGAGAGATATTATAATAATACTAATAATACTAATAATAATAATAATAATAAGAAGAAGAAGAAGAAGAAGAATATACACACACACGCGCGCGCGGAAGTCCCATAGAGGTGATCCGACCTCCCGACCCGCAGCTGGAGCCTGACCCAACTAGGACGAAAAAGAAAGACGCATCAGAAGCGAGAAGGCATAGTGAAGAATAATACGGGCTCGTCACAAGGTGACTGAGGCATGGACATGACAAGCCCTAGCATCCAGGGTGAGGAACGGTTGATGGACTAAATCCTGCACCAACCGCGCAACCAGGGCGACGGTGCAAACTTCCACGCGCCCCCCTGCCCCCGATTCAATGTTGATTGGCCGCGCCCGCGGGGTGCAGGCTTCAGGCCAGTCGGCAGATCGACAAGTCGCGCCACGGCCCGTCAATATGAAATTGGGGGCGCGGGGGGCGAAAACAAAAGTCGAAAAAAAGGTGCAGGACTGTGCCCAGCAGCCGATGAACAGCTGGCCCCCGAATGGCGAGCACGCAGGTCGGCGCGTCGCACCGCCTGGCCTTTTTGCGGGCCCTGGCAGCGCCGGCGCGGGTGCTCAGAGCTCCACGGCCTGTCGAGGCATCGGCAAAGGGCGAGAACAAGGAGGATGGGGGGAGGAGGAGGAGGAGGAGGAGGAGGAGGAGGAGGAGGAGGAGGAGGAGACACAGGAGCAGAAGCATCAGGGATGCAATCGGAGAGGAATGGTAACAACAGCAACAGCAACAACAATCATTTCAAGACTGCTCGCTCTTGCCTGCTCGAGTGCCATCCAACACGAATATCCCAAGCCCTCGGTACCCGCCCTCTTCGTCTTCGATCGTGCCCCCCTAGGGTAATATCCTCCTTACCTGCCACGTGTTAAGTGGTGCAGCCCCTGAAACAGGGGAAGAGAGAACGGATGAAGCGAGGGAGAAGGATAGAACACGGGAGAGATTAGGAGGGGGCTAGGAGTAGAAGACACGTGGCAAAACCAGACGGGCTGATCGGGCGGGTAGACCCTAACGGGAGGGTTGGAAGGCGGGCCCAGGAGGCCAGTTCGAGCAGGCGGGTTGCTGAAGCGTGAGTCCTGCATGAATCGCGAGGAGGTCTCGAGTGATAGCGCGATTTCCAAATGAATCGCGAGAAAAGCCAAAGCGCGAGCGCGATTCCTTAGCGTCGAGGGCGCGGCGTTTGAATCAATTGTGGGAAATTCCGACGCGAGAGCGCGATTCCTGCACTGACTGTGAGAAAGTCCAGCGCGAGAGCGCGAGTTCCCAAAACAATACATTGTGCGCAAGTAACAAGCGGCAGCCGTTGTTGTTGTAAGTCGGGGGCCAGGGGCCAAGCTTGATGACCCCAGATTTTCCATGCTAAACAACTGGGTGCGAGCCCCGGGAGGAGCACTTCAATGGGAAAGCACAGATAGTCACCGGGCAGACGGGATCAACCATAAGCATTCTAGTGAAATGAGAACTCAACAACAACAGAAGCATCAACAGCAGCAACAACAACAATCATTTTAAGACTGTTCGCTCCTATTTGCTCACGTGCCAATCAATACGTATGTCCCAAGCCCTCGGTAGCAGCCCTCGTCGTCTTCGATCGTACCCCCTTGGGGGTGCATCTTCCTTACCTGCCACGTGCATTTAGTGCAGCCCCTAAAACAAGGGAAGAAAAGACGGGTGGAAGCGGGAGGGAGAATAATGGAGCACGAGAGCAATTAGCAGGAGGGGGGCAAGGAGCAGAAAACTATTGGTAGAAACAGACGAGCAGATCGGATGGGCAGACCCATAGCGGGCAGGTCGGGAAAGCGGGCCCAGGCGACGAGGTAGAGCAGGCGGGTTGCTGAAGCGTGGGTCCTGCATGAATCGCGAGAAAGTCTCGAGCGATAGCGCGATTCCCAAATAAACCGTGAGAAAAGCCAAGGCGAGAGCATGATTCTTGAGCGCCGGAGGCGCATCGTCTGAACAAATTGCGAGGAAGTCCCACGCGAGAGCGCGATGCGTACATGAATTGTGAAGAAGTCCCGCGCGAGAGCGCGATTTGGGCATATATTGTGAGGAAATATCAAGCGGGAGCCGCTAAACCCAGGGTCAGGGGCCCAGTTTGAGCCCCGTGACCTTCCTTGATAAAAAAAAACAAAGTGCGAACCCTGGGGGGAGCAATTCAATTGAAAAACACAATGGTCACCGGAGGGGGTGATCAACAATAATTGTTCTTCAATAGTGAGAAAACAACCACAACAACAACAACAACAACAACAACAACAACAACAACAACAACAACAACAACAACAGCAACAGCAACAGCAACAGCAACAGCAACAACAACAATCAGTTGAAGACTGTTCGCTCTTACCTGCTCACAAACCATTCAACACGTATATCCCAAGCCCTCGGTACCCGCCCTCTTCGTCTTCGATCGTGCCCCCCTGGGGATATATCTCCCTTACCTGCCACGTTTAAGTGATGCATCCCCTGAAGCAGGGGAAGAGAGGACGGATGGAAGGGGGAAGGAGAAGGATGTAGCACGGAATTAGCAGGAGGGGGGCCTAGGAGCAGAGAACACGTGGCAGAAGCAGACGGGAAAACAGGCCCAAGCGGCCAGGTCCAGAAGGCGTGCTGGTGAAGCGCGAGTGCTGCATGAATCGCGAGGAAGTCTCGAGCGATCGCGAGAAAGGCCAAAGCGAGAGCGTGATTCCTGAGTGTCGAGGGCGCGGCGCCTGAATGCATCGCGAGGAATGCCCACACGAGAGCGCGACTCCTGCATGACTTGTGAGGAAGTCCCGCGCGAGAGCGCGATCGGGGAATAATTGTGAGGACGTATCAGGCGGGAGCCGTTGTTGTTGGAACTCGGGGCCCAACTACGCAGTCTGGTGACACCAAGCTTTCCCTGATAAGAACAGGGTGCGAGCCGCGAGGGGGGGCACGTCCATTGAAAAAATGAGATGGCTACCAGAGGGAGGGGATCAATCATATTCCCTTTAGAAAGGAGAATACAAGGGAGCAGGAGCACGAGGAGGAGGCGGAGGGCGAGGAAGAGCAAGATGGGCGAGGGAACAAGTACCTGAACACATGCCCAGACGAGGACGAAAAAGAAGACGAGCAGCATCCAGAGCAGAAGCAGAGCGGGGTAAGAAGAGGGTCGCGTGTACATAATACAAGGAAACAATGAAACAAATGAAGTACTGCATTGGCCAATGAGGAAGAAGACGGAGGGAAAATAAGGGCGATGAGAAGAGAAGCATAGGAGAGCGGGGGGGAGCGGAAGGGAAGTCAAGGGGAAGCGGAGGGGAGGGGAGATGAGCGGAGAGGGTGTACGGGCGAAAAGCGGAGGCGAACGCAGGGAAGCTGGGGGGAGGAGACTGAAGGGGAACGGGAGGGGGCACGACATGCGGTGAGATGATTTGGAGAGGCGGGGTGAATGGCGAGGGGACTGGAGACGGGACGGGGCAGGAATGGAAGGACGGAGAGAAGAGGGAAGCCTCGCCAAAAATCACGGCCCGAGTCCTAGACCCCATCTTCTGCGCCCTTTCTCAAGCTCGATCGACCTGCGAGGGCCCCGCGCCCGAAACAGGGCAGCACCGCCCGTGGCGAAAAAAACTGCCACGCCCGGAGTTCGCCGCCGAACCTCCCCGACGCACCACGCGGCGTGGCCGCCGCACCGCTCGGAGGGAGGGAGGAAGGAGGGAGGGAGCAGGAGAGGACGGGGGGGAGGAGAGGATGAGGGAGGGAGGAGGAGGAGAAGCGAAGGATGAGGGCGGGAGGAGGAGGAGCATGAGAGGAGGGCGAGGAGGGAGCAGGGTAGAGGAGGGACGGGGGAGGTGAGGAGGAGGAGGAGGAGGAGGAGGAGGAGGAGGAGGGAGCCCGAGCCCCCAAGTGCCCTATGAGAAGGCCTGCCCCCTCTCGCTGCCCCCGTTGGCGCGCCGCCGATTCGAGAGGAGGAGGCCTCTCTCGGAAGCCTCCGCAGCCCGAGGCACGGAAGCAAGGCCCCCCATCCCTCCTCCTCCCCCTCCTCCTTCCTCCTCCTCCTCCTCCTCCCTCCTCCTCCTCCTCCACCCTCCTCCCCTCCTCCTCCTCCTCCTCCTCCTCCTCTCCTCCTCCTCCTCCTCCTCCTCCTCCTCCTCCTCCTCCTCCTCCCCTCCTCCTCCTCCTCCTCCTCCTCCTCCTCCTCCTCCTCCTCCTCCTCCTCCTCCTCCTCCTCCTCCTCCTCCTCCTCCTCCTCCTCCTCCTCCTCCTCCTCCTCCTCCTCCTCCTCCACCTCCTCCTCCTCCTCCTCCTCCTCCTCCTCCTCCTCCTCCTCCTCCTCCTCCTCCTCCTCCGCCTCCTCCTCCTCCTCCTCCTCCTCCCTCCTCCTCCTCCTCCTCCTCCTCCTCCTCCTCCTCCTCCTCCTCCTCCTCCTCCTCCCCCTCCTCCTCCTCCTCCTCCTCCTCCTCCTCCTCCCTCCTCCTCCTCCTCCTCCCTCCCCCCCTTCTCCTCCTTTTCCTCCTCCTCCTCCTCCTCCTCCTCCCTCCTCCTCCTCCTCCTCCTCCTCCTCCTCCTCCTCCTCCTCCTCCTCCGTGCCTTCTTTAATAAACGAGCGCGCTCCACTGCTCGCAAAGTAGCTAGTCGCAGATTGCCTGGATCCCCAACGGGAGGTCTACGACAAATTATGCGACCGAGGAACCCCACATACTTATTTCAGATCCTGCGTGGCCATATCATGTTGCACAAAGCACTGCCTCCTGGCATTGTCGTTCGCCTCTGTGGCGTCGGGGATCTGCAACGCTTGCCACACCTTGCGAACCCGCAACGGATAGGGGGGACCAGCCCCAGCGCACCCCCTGTGGTGTCGAGAACGTGCAACGCCTGCCACAATTTGCGAGCCCGAAGCGGATATGGGGGGACCACCCCCTGCGCACCCCCTTGTGGTGTCGAGAAGGTGCAACGCCCGCCACACTTTGCGAGCCCGCGCCGCATAAGGGCACCACCCCCTGCGCACCCCTTTTGGTGTCGAGAAAATGCAACGCCTGCCACATTTTGCGAGCCCGAAACTGATGGGGGACCACCCCCTGCGCACCCCCTCTGGTGTCGAGAATATGCCGTGCCTGCTGTGCCCTGGACGACCGTCACGGATAGCGGCCGCGGTGAGAGACCACCCCCTGCGCACCCCCTCTGGTGTCGAGAATATGCCATGCCTGCTGTGCCCTGGACGACCGTCACGGATAGCGGCCGCGGTGAGAGACCACCCCCTGCGCACCCCCTTATGGTGTCGAGAATATGTCACGCCTGCTGTGCCCTGGACGACCGTCACGGATAGCGGCCGCGGTGAGAGACCACCCCTGCGCACCCCCTATGGTGTCGAGAATATGCATGCCTGCTGTGCCCTGGACGACCGTCACGGATAGCGGCCGCGGTGAGAGACCACCCCCTGCGCACCCCCTATGGTGTCGAGAATATGCCATGCCTGCTGTGCCCTGGACGACCGTCACGGATAGCGGCCGCGGTGAGAGACCACCCCCTGCGCACCCCCTATGGTGTCGAGAATATGCCATGCCTGCTGTGCCCTGGACGACCGTCACGGATAGCGGCCGCGGTGAGAGACCACCCCCTG